AAGGTATATGCATTACTACTTATGTTTAGTAAGTAGAATACATTTCAAAGCAAAAATATAGCTGAAAGACGAACATATGTGGTCATTTGAAAGTAGATTTAACACATGGACACCATCATACTCCTTTTAATAACTAAATGGGATGCATCTATATCCTTCTGATAATTTACAAATAGGACATAAAGTAAATCTTGGATTTCACTTCTAACAACTGCTGTCGAGTTTTAGTTAAATACCTAACTATCATAAATCTCAACTTAAGGATTTTGCTAACCATATTCACGTTCCATATGATCGCTAATATATGGGATTTCATCGCCAACCAAGTCAAAAGAGAAAGGCTTTAGTAAACAGACATGCTTCATAAACTCATGATGAAAAGGTTTACCATCAAGTTTATTAAATATCATCAGTATCTATATGTAATGGAAAAGAATCTTTTGACGGTTTGTAAAATCATGGGATTTGTATTTTGTGGGGAGGAAAATAACATGGAAATACAGAGTCAGTAAGAATTATTATAAGGATTTACACTATAAGTATTCAAGTAAGACAAACTAAGTTTGAAAATGAATTCATTGAAGTCTTTTCCTTGTGACTTGATTTTGCTTGACAACTTTAGTAGTATCTGGTTATTTTACTCTGCCAGTTCAATGTCTTCTATCCCGATCGTTCAGTTAATACTTGACAATGGGTCAGATCTTGTATTTATGCTTCTCTGTAACTACAAGAAACTTACTGTGACTTCTTTTCGTTGTTGAGTGTAAAACAATGTTTTCTTTCGAAGCTCCTTCTAGATATAATTTATGTTGAACAGTAAGAAAATTTTTGCTTTCATAACTATTGCTATCACCTCACAAATTAGTCTGTTGTGAACTTTAACACCCAAAGAATGGTTTATGCGGCGTTAGACTCTCTATAGGAAAACGAATCGGTGGCCCAGTTCAACAGCTTTGCATTATGACTTGGAATTTATGAATAAAAATCGACTAATTCATTCCACTATATTATTGCACATCTGATCAATAAGTGATTTCCAGTATATGTGTAGCCGTAAATAGTTCCCTAAAATCAATAGGCTAGGGTTCAAGAAGATTCAACATTGATGCTGATCTTCATAGTCTTAACGGACCTGTTAAACTAAAGGTACACAATCAAGCATCTGTGCCATTCGGCACGTTATCGCACTGCTTATACGCGACCCTCTAGCCAGTCAATCTGAACAGATTAGTATTTTCACACGGTTCATCAAAAAAACTATCCCACCTGATTGGTTTATTGTGTTTTTTCTTGGTCTCGCACTAGTGGGGACATAACAAATACGGATAATTAGTTATTAGCGTATTGCGTCTGTCGAGTTCACCTAACCATATATTCACTTTTGCGCTTGGACAGTACCATGCTGTCGAATTTCACCACCGGTTGACTAAAAATCACAATCATTTCTGAGTAACTCATAAGAGTAATTTGTAGGCGATACTAATCCAATTTGAAAGCGTTTAGCATGTTGTCTACTAAGGGGGTAAACTTCACATAAAATATGAAAATATAGAATGAATTATGAATATCTAGACAGATAGACAGAAAAACCTAGGACATCATATAAAGTGCATATAAAGGTACCAGTAAGAAAGAAGACTGAATAAATCAAGTTACTGTGAATAGAAAGAGAATGAACAAATAAGTAGTAAAATTTGAAAACTATTGCAGAAGGTCTGGAAGAAAGGAAAGGTACCTGCAGATTGGAAGAAGGGCTACTTTGTCAAACTCCCGAAGAAGGGTGACCTAAGTGTTTGCAAGAACTGGCGTGGAATCACGCTCCTGCCCACCCCAAGCAAAAGATTAAGCTGCATCATACTGGAGAGAATAAAGGATGCACTAGATTCAAAACGACGACCAGGACAGGCTGGCTGGATTCAGGAAGTACAAATCATATGCGGACCAAATTGCAACGCAACGCTTCGCATCATCATAGAACACAGTATAGAATGACAGTCAACTCTCCACCTTACCTCAACTTCATCGACTTTGAAAAAGCCTTCAACAGCGTCGACCGAGAAATAATTTGGCAGTTGCTTCAACACTACGGAATACCACAAACCTTTATCAATCTCGTTCAACAACTATATGAAGACGCCATATACCAAGTAATTCACAATGGAAAGCTCAGTGATGCCTATTAAGTGAAGACAGGAAGGAGTAAAATGAGGCTGTCTACAATCACCGAAGATCTTCCTGATTGTGGTGGACTGCATGATTCAGGAAACAGTGAGGAGGGAGAAGACGGGGATACGCTGAAACGGTGAAAATATCCTAGATGATTTGGATTTCGCCACCGTTGGTGACTTATGTCTAATGTCTTGTTGCACAAACTCGAAGATCTATAGGCGAAAACTAGCAAGTTGACAGAAGAGGCACGGCAGAGAAGGAAGACGGGACTTCAAGTGAATATAGAGAAGACAGAGGTGATGAAGATACACAACCACCACTACCAACAAGCTCCAATCACCATCAACGGGAGAAACTTAAAGGAAGTAGCCTCTTTCACTTATCTAGGCAGCACTGTTTCAACTACAGGTGGCACAGACGAGGACGTCAAAGTCAGGATCGGGAAAGCATGACAGGCCTCCATTAGCCTGAAACCAGTGTAGAGATCTCCTGTGCTCAGCATGTGGGACAAGATCGGGATTTTCAACACCAACGTCAGTCAAGTCAGTGCTTCTATGTGATGTTTGAGAAACTTGGCGCGTTACGAAAGGCATTTCCAACAAACTATAGACATTCATCAACAACTGCTTACGCTCGCTACTGAAGATCAGATGACCAGAATAGTCAGAATAAGCAACAAGGAACTCTGGCCTGGTAACGAACTAATCAAGAACCCATCGCTGAACAAATATGCAGAAGGAAGTGGAGATGGATTGGGAATACACTGAGAAAGCGGACTGGGGACATCACGGGTCAGGCCCTCGAGTGGAATCCCCATCGGAAGCGACGAGTTTGGCGTCCGAGGAAGAAATGAAAGCTTCTGGGATGTCGTGGAACCAGGTTCAAACGTTTGCGGAGAACAGAGTGCACTGGACACGTGCTACTGAAGCCCTATGTACCATTAGCAACCCAAGGGACAAATAATAATAATAATAAAATTGAAAAATATTTTCAACTGAGTTTGTGTAGTTGGTTTCGGGTTAGATGGTTCAATAAATGATTACTATTATCTGGATAAAACTCAATGAGAGGCATAGATTTGAATTTAAAACTGACATTTTTGATCACTTCAACATAATCTTTCCTCTACCCAATGACTTACTCAGATACACAAAGCAACGCGGATACTGATAGAGAAGTGGATGACTTCTAGTTGTCACATTGAATAATAGCACCCAGAAAAGATATGAATAAAAACGTAATGATGTAAATGAAGACAGTAGGTAGAAAGAACAAACAAATAAGTCAAATATATTTATTAAATTCCAATGAAATAGAAAAGTGAATTTCTGACACTGTACAGTGTTGCAGAAACCACTTCTTCAGACGATAAACCCCTGTAGAAGTTATTGTATGTTTAAATAGACAATGGAAACAAATCAGATAACGTTGTTCATACATGCACACATAATTAGTAACAAGATGCGACTAAATGTTATCATTATCAATTATTAGTGTTTGAGTTCAAGGTGATATGTGAATGTGAATAAGAAATTCATATTGTTTGTCTATGTATGCACTTTAATTCTGACTAATGAGTACAATGTGTTATTTTGGATATACTGTCCAATTTGGTTGATTAGTTAAAGTTTCTTTTTTGTTGAGTGCATTAGGATGATAAATTTAGTGCTGAAGATGTCACAAAACCTAGTGATGAAACGTGAACGAATAAATATCAAGGCTTAGAGAACACCAAACCACCATCATCTTTATTTCAAGCTAAAAACCTTTTCCAGCATTTCAGTCCACTAAGATTTAACACTTATGTGAAGTGCTTCAGCAATCTGCCCTTGTTTGTAGCTTGAATAATTTTTGGGTTTTAAATGTTAATTTTTTTTAGCAATGAAACATGAACATCAACCACAGATTTGATTTACAAACTCCTCAGAACTATTTGGAGCCAGTTTTTTTGTAGCTTGCGTGTAGCATGAATAAGAACTTAGCAGGATGATTCCTTGATGCTGTAAGTAGCACATTTGATACAAACTAGTCTGCTTGGAGGTAAACGGAATTCTATCTTTTATGTTAAATAAACCATTCCTAGGAGTATTGGTTGTCTTGTGGAAGACTTTAATTCAGTGTTTTCTTAATATCTTCTTTGACTAACTGACAGGTCAACATATAACCTCACACATAAGTGAAACAGTTCAAGTTGCCATACCTCAAAGAAGTATATGATGGACAGATCGATTGAAAAATAGTGATATAAAAGTAGAGAATAAACAATTTAAAGATAAAGATTCGTGCAAACATTCAAGCTTCAGAAGATGTCAAGCAGTGAATACATCCGCACCATTGTGACGGATTTCCAGCCATGTTACCAAGAGTTAGTCCTCAACTACTGATTTTTTCGTCTCGGGGAGTTTAGCCACCTGGGCAGTCTACATGTTCCCACACGTCTCAGACCAAAAGTAAGACTTCATCGACTGATGTCACGTCTTAGTCTGGCCACCCTGAATCCTTTTCCAACCTAATATAGCCCTCCCTAGCACGGGACGTTGGGGTAGAAGGTGGCTCAGCGTGGGCAACATACATCCAAGTCATCTCAGTCGACTGGGGTTCACAACTTCACCAATCAACTTGCTTAGTACCCAATCTGAAGTAGAATCAAGAAACGGATATTACCAATCATTTAGTATCAAGTTACATCCATTTCAGAGTAAATGAACAAAATCTCATAATATATAACACAAGGTTTTTGAAATCTTGTGCGTTTCCAGCAGATTGATCGTTATCATGATATACTACTAACGTATGGAATAAGTAGATTTTTAAATTTGTCGATCAATGGTTGTCACTTGATCATACTGAACTGGTAATTCATAGTACTATAGAAAATTCCTTTCGATTCATTGTTCAACAAACGTTTCGTTAAAAAAAAATATGACAGAAAAACGTAATGAAATCAAAAATAAAATATCTGAATTATTAATTAAAACAGGAGAACGTGAAAGATTACGTGAATTTGTTGAAAATAAATTAATTGAAACTGGTTGGAATGAAAAAGTTAAACAAGCCTGCAAAGATTATATTCGAACAAAAGGTGTAGATCATATAACAGTTGAAGAGGTTGTACAAGCGATTACACCTTCTGCGCGTCAAACTATACCAACAGAAGTAAAACAAGATGTTCTAGAATTATTGACAAAATTTCTTGTTCAACATGATATCGATGTTTAAAACAGAAAAAAAAAACATAAAAGAAGAAGGATTATAATATATGGAAACGCTTTTGGAAACAAATTCTTTCTCATGTAGACTATACTAACTCATTCAGTATTTTAAATTTGTTATTCACTACTAATTTACACGTATTACATCATATTTAATTTGCAAAGAAGTTTATTCTGCAATATAACTTTTTCTTAAAGTTGAACTAAGTTAAGCATGTATTGGAGTTAGAATCCTTGAAGTTTAGCAATTATCACAATGATGATTTACCTACCTATAGCTTATTGAGAGGTCAGTGTACTCAGGTTACGAATGCGTAACATGTTGACTAATCAATTGAGTCGGTTAAATCTCACAAACTCTTCAATTAACTTACCTTCTTTACTTAGTATTCCATACTAAACCTCTACATTACTCACACAGTGTTTTCACTATAAGCAAATTATGCTATGAAAGCAAGAAGAGCTATTTATTTACTTGTCGTCTTCGTATATCACTCAGCTTTAATCACCGCGTTTCATTAAGATGTATATATTAGGACACAGAGAAACGTCGTGAGGTTGTCTTGGACCCTAAGACGTATTCATGTTTCTGACCTGCATTATAAGTGGTATAAGTTTACAGAAACCCAATAAGTCCTTTGTATTCATTGCCAGATTCCTTCAGTTATCGATCTACCGGATCTGGTGCAAGTCACAAGTAAAGAAACTTGTCAACAAGTCTAATCACTTTTTCTACAATCAGGAGGAACGCAGAAGTAGACTATACCTGAGAAAACGGTTGGATTAAAGAGGTGAGAAAGGCATCCCAAAATGTATTGATGCAGCATGTGTCGAACAATAATATATTTATACTGTGCTAGGGAATGAACTGACCATGGTATCCGACTTTCAGAAAGAAAGAGTATGGTTAGGAATTCTAAATTAAGTTATATGAGGATGGAGAGGTGTGAAAATACCTGTAGTCAGACTGCTGATACATCTGTCAAACTATCACATGTACCAGACTTGAACTGAGGGCAGTTCTGTCACAATTAGCGTAAGAGTTAACGCCATGAGAGAACAAGATGTCAAGATTCTTTTCGAATAAAAACCACTTTTAGCTCTTTGCATTTGAGTCTCTATATTTGATAAGCATAGGGTGGTAGATGAACTACCTTACAATCATCAGAGTTAAATGTTAGTCCATTAAAATCTACTCAGTTTCAAAAATCCTGTCAAATGGACTTACAATACTAAATTATCTTGGAGGTGTTGCTTACTCTGAGTTGGATGAATGACCGTGAAGCTTTCATTGTGTTCTTAGACATCATAAACATTTAAATCAGGTTATGATTTTTGTTTCGTTCTATGAATTCAAATCATCGGTAAAGACAATTCCAGACAGAAAACCAATATAAGTAGTAGAATTTCAACGCAAAAATACTTAGGGAAGGGGGTTAAACATATCAGCGACAAATGTTATGATGTTCGAAATCCCAAAGATAATGAGGGGAATGAAATTGCGCGGTCGTAACTGAATTTTAACATTCACAGCAAACGTCACCAACCACTTGTTTCTATCTCTACTCGAACTCATACAGCTGTTTAAGGGCTCGTGGAGAGTTGTCATCTGAATTAACTACAACTAGTGGTGTCTGTCAGAAGTGCCAGCTGTCACCGCTTCCGTTCACCTTTGTTGCAGATGTATTACTGAAGATAACCCCAGGTATCTATCTTCCCAGAGATTGACCTACTCCAAGAAGGGTGTGGTTGTGTAGAGTACGCAATCCACCTCGTCTTGGTATATGAAGATGCTGATAAAATGCGAGGTTTTCCGAATGTCTCAAGGAGAAATCTGTGTATATCTCCAATCTGTCAAATGTATGATGATGCTTCAGGACTGGTTTACAACTACTCGCAGTTTAAGGATACAGTGTGAAGTGGTGGAATGTACCGACCACTTCACTTACTTAGGAAGTTGCATCAGCCCAAACAAGCTGGTTGATGACGACACAGGGTGCCCGTTTTGCATATGCCAACTTGCGTCATCGTTGGCACCGATGAGATATCTCACTACCTGTTAAATGACGAACATACTGCACTGCAGTTCGTGCTGCCCTGTTATACCACTGTGGAACATGACTGTCGAAAATAAAAGATATGAATAGATTACCGGGTCTGACCACAGGTGTCTTCGCAGCATTGCTGGGGTAAAGTGGGGTCACTATGTCAGTAATGTTGGGGTTAGACGAAGGGTACTAAGATAGGTAAGTCGGTCGAATAGGTCGTGGACCCACAGCGACTGAGGTGGCTTTGATACGTTTTGCGCATGCTAATCCACCACCTACCTCGATATGCAAGGTTAGCAGAACATGGATTACGTTGGGAGACGGTTCAGGGTGGTCAAAGAGTAGCACTAGTTCACGAAACCTCTGACGGTTGATCTGATCCGTGTAGGGAGGTGTAGACTACTTAGTTGGAGTCTCAAAAGCCATAGGAATCAATGTATGCAGACCCTCCCTGAAGATCGGTCACAGTAGTGAAAATATATATTCATTATTTACGTCTTCTAAAGTTCGGATATTTTCGCTAACATTTATCACCGAAGTGTTTCTCCTACCATACACGTTTTCTACTTTGATACCAGATTTTTCCTATCCACTTGTTCCTTGTATGCTGTTGTAAAATGTAGCATCTTGAACCAATGCACTTCTATGCTAAGTTCTACGCTGACCTATTCTATCTACGCTTGACGTCAACGTGATCCTTCTGCTATAATTTTCTAAACGTAGGCAAGAGTCTGCAAACTGGTGTCTATGTCACATTTGTGTTGCTGCTCATCGATGAACAGGTAAAGTGTTTGTAGACCACACACACTGTTATTCAAAGTGGTTTGGAATAACATACAAGCTGTATATTCTAAGTTTATCATGAGACCATCCTTCTCAATATCATTAAAAATCTCCATCAGTTTTTTCTTGATTAAGCCAAATTAGCTTCCGACTACTAAACTATCTCTTCTGCATCTCCTAAACAACACATCAGAACTCTTGATCAATGACTGATTACAACGTTTCTGCGAATTGTGATCAAAGGTGGCCAGAATGAGTCTTATTGCATGTATCGATTCAGGTTAGGCTGTAGAAATTCATACAATGTAACGAAAAAAATTAGTTGGAGATTATTTAATATCTCCACAAAAGACTAGACTGTATACTAAACCGCTAAAAAGTGAGACTTTCTATGATTTCCGCAAAAATGCTTGGTCGACTGGTTTAATACCGACTTGTTTTTATCAAAACAAGCAAAGAGAGACTTTGCAGCTGCTTGTTTCCTGTATTCATTCTGATCAGCTCATGGTTAGAATATAAGTGCTCAAAAAACAACGCTCACCTTCTTTAACGATGACTAATGGCAATGTTATCTGTTTGTATCCATTGCTGACATGATGTCAGCGATGAAGTCAACGCGTCTTGGTATATTAGAAGTCTGTAATGGCCAGGAATGAGTGATTATTAGGATGAAACTGTAGAAAACAACCATCGTTATCGTTGCCTCCATACAACATTCTGAAGATACAACCATGATGACAAGTAGTCTGAGTCAGATTTCTAACTAACCCACTTTTAAACATTATTACTTCCGATCCGTTTGACATTTGCATTAGGATTGATAGCTTTAGGTAAAACTCACTCTTCATTCTCTAGACTGAAGTTAGCGGACGCTTACACTCGGAATAAAAAGAAGCATCGACACATGCCACTTCCTCTCGAATTCGTAAAGATCCACCCCATCAAACAATACACAACCAACCGTCAACAAAGATCTAACCAACAATCAAATGTCTTACTCTGCAAGTTCACGTTATCCTTATATCAATAAGCCCACTGGAAAAAGCCATCAAATCTCCCATCGTTGGCGGAAGAATTGCTTAGATTCCACACTGTACAAAGAACGTAACAAGAATCAGAAGCTGTGTAATTTTAAATAACAAAAGGATAACTTGCTGACATAAAGCGCAGGAATCATCCTTGGGCTATATACTGCAGAAGTGGATACTTTCTGCGTTCTTTCACAACAGTTACCACGAGCTGCAAAGTAACGTGACAAGTTGACCTAATTTCACTTGAAATACTCCATAAGTACAGCAAACCTGAAGCAGCACAAAATACCTAGAAGGCAACTAACAATAAAGTAATCTAGTTAGAGGGTGAGCGACGCTTTAAAAAAGTCGTGGTTTACTCGAACAACTGAAGAGGCTTATCTAAATCACGAAAAGCACCAGGATAGTAAAATAGCAAATAAGAAAATGACAATTTAAAACATATCTGTCCTCAGGTTTAATAGATTGTTTCTTAACTCTATAATCTGTCAACTACATCTGCCACAATACAGGCCGTTTGTCGTGGCTTCAAAAGGCTGTACGTGACCGGTCTCAAGTAGATGTCTCCTGGGCTATGCAGTTACGCACCAACCCTTTTTCGGGTACTCCAAGAAGACTTAGCCCTTCACGGTGTGGGCAACCGGAAAGTGTCAACCGCCCTCACAACTGTCCGCGATCAGGTTCCCTCAGACTATTGTTCACCTCCCTCATCCTTACCTTCTAATCTTCCCTTACGTCTCTCAGTTGACAATCCTACATAGTCTTTAATTTCTTCCAGCTCTGGAGTCTTCAACAAGAATCTGAGTCCACATAACAGCATCCTTGGTTTCCTTAAACCACGTCTCAAATTACACATTGAAGCTTTCAACGTCCGCACTTTCCATCGAATTGGCTAAAAAGCTTTACTAGCCAAAACCCTAGCAAGTCAGGCCATGGATATGTGCTGTGTTCGTTAGACACGCATACAGGACCGAAGTGCAGTCATTCACTTAAACTCTCTCGGCAAAGATAGTGAGTTCGCAAAACCCACTCCTCGAGTTCCTGGAGATCCGACGACCAGTTCTCGGGGTATTGCAGGTGTAGGTATAGCATTAGGCACTACGGCAGAAAGCTCAATACTAGACTGGATTCCAGATGATAGTCGCCTATGTGCTATCGGGTACAGTGAGAACTTGCCGTTATCCCTTTGTAATCTCTGCTTATCCACCCAGTGACTGTAGTTCGGATGAGTTCTGCCGAAAACTGTCTAGCCTCCCTCTGAAAGCCAAATGTTCAGACGTGGTTGCTGTTGCGGGTGATTTCAATGCAAAAGTGGGTAGGCTGAGTCAAATAGAAAAACATTAGGGTGGTACTTTCGGAATCCTAGCTAGACGAACAGATAACGGTGAGCGCCAACTACAACTGTGCTCAGATAACCGTTTATTTTTAGCCAGCACAAACTTCCGACATAAAGACATTGTCTGGTGTGGTGTCCACCGAACTCAACTCATTTATGAACACAGTTAGACCACATTTCTATTAGTCATCTCTAGAGAGGGTTAGTGGAAGACTAACGTTCCTTCTGAAGCACGTGTTTGGAAGTAGAAAAACTTCAGCATCAAAACCATTACAGGTGCAGCTCGACAGCGAGAAAACTAGGGCCACTTTCAGCAAGAAACTGGCTAGGCAGTTATCAGAACAGAACACTATCACTTATCCAGAAAAAGCTTGGTGTCATCTCCAGTCTGCTTTAAAAACGGTGTTGAAGACCGGAGCCGACTCCGAAATAGTGATTAGAAAGAGCCAGTGAACATCAGTAGCTTCTTCTGAGTTAGTGGATGCACATGAACGTATCCCTGCAAACTCTCAGTGCAATGGGAGACTGATAAAATGTCTACGCAATGACCGCGAACAGTGGCAGGCAGCGAAGGCTAGAGAAATGGAAAAGGAAGCGGCGATGGGTAACATCAGACAAGCATTTAAACTGACTAAGGAAACTGGGGTGAAAAGACCAACAGCTGGTGAGACTATAGCGGAGAAGGATTGGTCTGCGACTCACTCGGAGGGGAGACGCCTGGGCAGGACACGTCGAGAAACAGTTTAACTGGCCTCCAGCCACTACTGCGTTGCCAGCTATTCAGTCAGATCCTGAATGGAACATTGAGATAGGTCCCTCAACACCTGCAGAAGTCGAGAAAGCGGTAGGTAACTTCAAACGAGGAAGGACAGCAGGACCAAACGGATTAGTTCTTGAGGTATGTAAGGACGGCGGTAGTGCCTTTAGTCAAATTAACTGAAGTGTTGACTAGTGTATGGGAGTCAAATATGATCCCCTCTGACTGGTCTGAATAACTGATTATCCCAGTTTTCAAAAAAAGCGAGAAATACTCTTGTGGTAACCAAAGAGTAATCAGCTTGAAAGTGTCTAAGATACTAGGTCCTATAATCATCAGACACCTGAGTGGAGCTCGGGAACAGCAAGTACGAAAGAAACAGGCAGGCTTCAGACCTAGTCGTGCGTGTATCGATCAAATATTCACTCCACCGGGTCCTGGAACACAGGTACGCTTGCCAACGCCCAACAATGGCTGTATTCCACGATCTGAAAGTGGCGTTCAACTCCGTCGATAGAGAAGTTTTATGGCAATATCTGTCACTGAAAAAGGTACCGACTAAGTATATCACCTTATTGAAGGCTCTTTACTCAAGCACCTTTGGGTATGTTAGAACCTATAGTGAGATGTCGGATGGACTACGTACCTAGACTGGTGGCCGCCAAAGATACCCACTTTCTCCATTCTTATCCACTTTTACCATAGACTTTCATATGGAGGTCTCCCTCTAGACATGACTGCACAGAGATTGACCCAATCACAGGAGAATTTTCGATTGACATGAAATACGCAGATGATATAGTACTTTTAGATGAAGGCACTGACAGGATGTAGTCTTCCGGACACCATAAGTAGCGATTTGATATGCGTTTCTTACCACCCAAATGCAAACTGATGCTCCAGGACTGGTCTTCAACGGTACCCTGACTAACAGTAGATTGAAGTGGTTGGGCGCGTTGAGCATTTCACTTACCTGGGGAGTCAGATCAGCTCTGACGGATCAGTGGCCGGCTAAATCTATGCAGGTATACCAAAGGCTCGGTTGGCTTTTGCCAACTTACGCCATGTGGCACCGCCGCGACATCCGGTTGTCTATTAAGGGTCGAGTGTACTGCGTTGCAGTCCACTCTGTCCTACTGTATTGGTGTGAAACATGACCATCAAGGGTAGAAGACACGAAAAGGCTTTAGGTGTTTGACCACCGTTACCTTCGTAGGATAAGGCGTGTTTCGTGGTGTCAACACGTAACGGAGTTAGGTGCAGAATTCCAGGCGGGAGAGGTAAGATTGTTGATGCCATTATGAACCTTCATCGGCTGGGACATGTGTTACGTTCGTCCAGCCACCGACTGCGCTGGACAATGTTGTCTGAAGCAGGTTCAGGCTGAAAAAGGTTAGCGACGGCCAGACCGGAAAATGGCATCAGTGCGTGAAGTCCTCGACTGTCCGTCTGAGCCATGAAGACTAGCCAGTGTAGGTCCGCGGGATAACAGAAACCAGTGGTTGGAGACTCGAGATGATATGGCTCAGAACCGATGTCAGTGGCACAGATGTGTGCATACACTATTATCATCTTGACCGATATACTTAATCTCGTCATTTCCTGATTCCTCCTTTGCTAATTCCTAATTCTCTCGACTAAGTTTTCTTTCTTTCTTCATCTCTCATTTCATTGGCCTGTTAGTTGATGTGGTACCTTGGACCGTTACGCAGTAATGCCTGGTCCCATGTTGATCTTAATGATGTTTACTGTGTAGTCTTAAGTAGCAGAATCAGTCAAGGTATAAGAATCAATGGAAATATCAAACGTTGGTCGGGATTGTTGCTGATTAATTCGCAACATAATGCACCGCAGTGTTGCATCATATAACTTAGTGACCGTCACAAAACTCAATTAGTTCTAAAGACCTGATTATCATCCGATGATTGGTTTGCATATTATCCAATGCACTTTATTTGGCGGGCAGTTGTAGGAAGACAGTAGGTGAAACAACTTACCTTCACCTCAGACTATTATTCGAACCCATGGGTTGTGGACAAGCATCAGTTAGGGATGTTCGGTCCCACTAGTACAGTGGTTGAATCCTAACACAAAAGTTTGTTAGACACACCAAATGCGTAAAATTTTGGAACCGACATTTGAAATGGTCATTTCGAAGATCCTCAGCCAAAGGTTTATAAAATAGTTCACATCCATGTTTTCGGTTGTCCTCTCTGGTCTGAAGATCTCACAGAGGAACACTGAGTGAGTATGTACGTTACTCTGACTTTTGCCATTCATATTGGCTACTAAAGCATATGGTCCCATTACAATCGGTATTAACAGGCGGAAGGAGTGACTATAATAATACAAATATTTTGTGTAGAAAAAGTGTATCAAGACTGGTCAGTATGAGATTACCATCTTTTTGCCTAATTGTTCTACTCATGTAAGACACTTAGATACATGCCGGTGGATAGCTACAATACTAACAAAAAAGTAATCTGGAATTACAGAAGTGTCTCACCTTACACCTAACCAGCGTATTAATCACCAGGTAAGCTGATACATCCATCCAAAGGATAGAATTCTACTCAAATCCAAAGTTGTAAATTTGTGAAAAATGCAATTTCAGGGACCATATGTCTCTCTATCTAAGATGTGTAAATAAACGACACGAACAAGCAACGAATACTGCATGCTGCTGAGAATATAGGAATTTACTTTAAAAAAGTACAATTATCCAACAAAACTGATTTATTTGAAAAAACTAAAGCTTGTTAAAAGCTGCAATATCAACTGACTGTACAAGGTTATCGAACTTCATAATCTCTTCTTCTAAAAGATCCGTTCCAACCTGTAAAAGTAAGGAAGAATAATGAGATTACTCTGTGACGTAAAAACCCAGTCAGTACATACCGACTTGGATAAGTCGATTATTCAAACTACTTGAAATCTCCCTTACCTTATCATCTTCTACAACACATCCTATCTGTAGTTTTTTTATGCCATAGGCCAATGGAACAAGTTTCGATGCGCCCCATACCAGTCCATCAACCTGAATGCTTCGGACAGCTTTCTCAATGTCAGCCATATCAGTTTCATCATCCCATGGTTTGACATCAAGAACAATCGTGGATTTTGCCACAATGGCTGTTTTATTGGCCTTCTTCGCTTCATAAGCAGCTTGACGCTCTTTCCTCAGTTTCTCATATTCTTCATCGTCATCAGAAGCGAATAAATCATCCGCATCATCATCGTCTACGACAGCTGCAGCAGGCTTGACTAATAAAAGTTTGATAATCAAAACAATAAACGATTTCATTACCTTCAAGTTCTACATCAGTGCCATCCTGTGGAGGAGGGAAATGTTTGCTTTCAGTACCGAATGAATCTATATGTTTGTACCAGCGTAATACGTTACCATAGTTTGTTGACGGTAACTTGCCAACAGCTACAAACGTGGTTACATCAGCTTGAGTGGGTTGGAACCTACAAAGAAACCACCGAAAAACTGTATAGTTGTAGTATTCATTTGAATAATAACATTTAATATTTACGAGATAAATGCTAGTGAGCTAGGTAGCTGCGCCAGGTTCTGGAACATAGGCATGCTTACAGACGCCCGACAATAGCTGTATTTCTCGACCTGAAGGCGGCATTTGACTCCGTTGATCGAGAAGTCTTATGGCAATGTCTATCACTGAAAGGCGTGCCTAGTAAGTACATCACGTTATTCAAAGCTCTCTACTCGAACACTTGTGGGTGTGTTAGAGCCTATGGCGAGTTGTCCAGGGAGCTATACTCATCAAGTGGTGTCCGTCAAGGATGCCCACTATCCCCATTCTTATTTAATTTTATCATAGATATTCTTATGGAGGTTTCCCTCTCGTCACCTGATTACACAGACGTTGACCCAATCACAGGTGAATTTTCTTTAGATCTAGAATAAGCAGATGACATAGTCCTGTTAGGTGAAGACGCTGACAAGATGCAGAGTCTTCTGAACACTTTGAGTGGGAATTTGAGAATGTTTGGGATGCGATTTTCACCACCCGAATGCAAATTTTCGCTCCAGGACTGGTCTTCAGCGGTACCGCGGCTAACAATAGAGAGTGAAGTGGTTGAGTGTGTTGACCATTTCACTTACCTGGGAAGTAGGATCAACCCCGATGGGTTAGTTGCCGATGAGATTTCTGCACGGATACAAAAGGCTCGATTGGCTTTTGCCAATTTGTGCCACCTATGGCGCCGCCGTGATATTCGTTTGTCTATTAAGGGTCGCGTGTACTGCACAGCAGTCCGCTCTGTTCTACTATATAGCTGCGAAACATGGCCATTGAAAGTGGAGGATACAAAAAGGCTTCAGGTGTTTGACCACCGTTGCCTTCGTAGTATAGGACGTGTTCCGTGGTGTCACTACGTGAGTAATGCAGAAGTTAGGTGTAGAGTTTTGGGGAGAAGAGGCAAGTCAGTTGACGAGGTTGTGAACCTTCATCGACTGAGATGGTTGGGACACGTACTACGTATGCCTAGTCACCGATTGCCTCGTCACACAATGTTGGCTGAGGTGGGTCCAGGCTGGAAAAAGGCCCGAGGTGGCCAGACTAAAACATGGCGGCACCAATGTATGAAGTCTCTGACTGTTGGTTTAAGCCATGTAGGACGATGCAGATAAGGTGGTTGGGGTCCACGGGACAAAAGAAACTAGTGGTTGGAGACCCTAGGTGATATGGCTCAGAACTGATGTCAGTGGCGCAGATGTATACACACATTATCCTCATCTTAACAACGCCATACCGAATCTCACCATTTTGTCACTCCTCTTTCCTTTCTTTTCGTACTTTATATTTCTTTTGACTGCATTCACTTATCTTCACCCTTCACCTCACTACCTTTTTACTTGATGTGCTGATATGAGGTGTGGCAACTCGGACCGTTACGCAGTAATGCCTGGTCCTATATTGATAATGATGATGATGATGAGGTAGCTGAACAGTTTCTCGTCAAGCAAGGATTCTGATACTACTCTACAGTGATTTTCTATCGCAGTCCGTATCCGCTAGGTGCGTTCCAAGTAATATGCCAACTGATAGTTCATGCATGAAAGTTCTTACTGCTAAATGAGGTTGATCAAACGCCGAAAGGCAATTCAAATTGCATGAAGTAGCTACAAACTTTAAGGTTGGGAAGGCCATGTCCCGAAAAAAATATTCTTATTACTTAAGTTACTCTACTTTATCGACAATTTTCATAGAAAAAGCAGTCTCACTAAAAGAGTAATTTGGGATTTCACACTTCTCAAAGTCCACTGGGCGCAGAACATTGTTGGGTAAGGATTGTGTGCATGCAACTAAAATGTCAAACACCTTTTAGGGAGTTTTATCATCCATTGACTTTCAGTCCTTACCAGAGATTTTTGGACAAGTAGTCTGAATGTAGTTGTAATGATAAATTTACCGCAAATAGCGAAAAATCTGGAAATTAAAGAGCAAGTTAATATGCTAGGGCTTACGTTCGTAAATCTTTACCGAACACAATCCTAGAATAGTCAGATCACTCACATGTTGACCTGAAAAAGGGGCGAAGAATTCCGCAGGCTGATGGAGTTGTGAACACAGGATATAGAGGTTAGTAACAGTTTTGAGGTAGGAATAAGCACTGTCCCGACGATCCGGTAAAAGTAGATCGACAACACAAGTTCGAGACCGGAGCTTTCTACAACCCACACGTTCAGGTGGGTTTTCGTGCTTTGCATACTTCAATAGACCATGCGAGTCTACGACTACTCCAGCTAAAAGCAAATTTCAGTCACGACTGCACACCAGCTTAAAAAAAGTTGCATGCGAGTACACACAGTTTACGGCTGTCTATCATAAACGAAGTGGTTCCTAAACGAATAAACCTAGTACGTTAGTTAAATACATTACTAACAATGCAAACAGTTAGAAATCTGAACATATATCACAGAAACAGCGAGGTACCATCCACATCTGAGGAGCTACTCCATGTTGCAGCACAGTAACCAATTAGCAACACACTGCTGTATATATATATGCATGTCTGGGGAAACTCTGACCAGCGATCAGGACTGTTACGTATTCTTGTCAACTATCTGCTTTACAGACAGATTTCATGTCAACACTTTTACTGGATTAAATGCGGGTGTAACGCGGGGATTTACATCTGTCCTTGCTAGGACCGTCTCCGAGGGCATCACAAGAAAATTCTAAAATCGCGATCGGATCAACTTAGCGTGAGTCTGAGTTTCTCCCATCGTATTGTCAACGTCTGGAACTCCTCACCTCAGCAGGTAGTATCAGCACCTCCTGTCAACGCGTTCCAGGAGAAACTACATCTTCACAGAGATATCTTCTGCAAGGATCAACACAGGCCAACTGGTCTACTATCCTTAAAACCGAGAACTGGACCGAACATCCAGACCACGAGTTTAGCATATCTGGCCCAGTGTTTTCTATTATGGCCCTAAGTCTGCCCTAAAAATTACACATTTCCTACGCTACAACTCATAACTATACGTTTTCATAACACCATTCCTACCAGAAAGTTCAAGCATGCTTCATTGCCGCACATGCGGCTATATATGGAAGCATTCTACCAAAGTCAAATACATATTTTTGTAGGAATATACATGGACTTCACAATAAAACTAACCCTGATATGTAACTTCTAGTTAGCAGGAATTCATCCAGTTTCTTCAAACCACTGTCTGTTTTCAGATCACCAAAAGCCACCATCCTGCCGCATGCAATAATTAGCGCCCTAAGTGCCCGAAATAGTCAAGATTAACACTACATCCTAGATTTCGATTAAGGTTTCCTCTTCAGGATATGAGGACGAAAGTCTATGTAATTCTTCTTATAAAAATTATCTATGTTTGTCGATTCCCCTGATGATGTGCACACCAGTTTCAATATCCAATGCCTTTCAGGCCAATAAACTGGATACAAAAGGAAAGAAGAGAGCATTTCTTCATAATAATACAAGGTACCAATGAAGAGCCAATACCCAAGAAAGGTTAAAATAGAACTTAGGGATTTGTGAGGATTTAGAGATATTTTAAGTTCGTTCACGTCACAGACTGACGTCATTTACAGGAAAATAGGAGACCTGAAAGTGCCGGACAGCTGTTTTGTCCTAGTATGGGACCCTTCAGCAGTGCGCACCCATGACTCCGCCAGGGATCGAACCCGCGATCTTCAGGTTCCATGTCAGCATCTTGTCAGTGACTCAATGCTAACACGCTGGCCGTGAAACCAGTAGATCTCGGGTTCCAGCCCCGGCGAGTTTGTTGATTTGCACTGCTGGGGAGCCCTATACTGGGACAAAACAGCCGCCCAATGCTCCCAGGCTTCCAAATTTTCCCCGACTGGTGCCAGTTCATTATGGGGGCCAACTTAAAATCAGAATGGCATTGCTGATGGGACACGACGGGTTGTTGGGTCAGAAGCTCCCTCCATATGCTGGTGGTAAACCATGAGTGTAGACGTGTTTATTCGATAACCTTAGTAATTTCACTACCGGGGGCATTGCTATTTCCATGACGGAATGTTCGACAGGGTACTTACTGGTGCTGAAGAGAAGTTGGCTGTTGCCGCACTATTTTTCTGCGAGGAGGTCTGTTCGGAGTCAACGGAGGTTATTAGCTGGGGTCGCTCGCCTACTAAACAATCTTGTGGGCTGTCATCGGGTTGTGCCATTTCCTACAATGGTTGCGGGTAGGTTAGTCAAGCTGCCAGAGAAACTAAGAACAAGTTTTACTTCATAGTTCTGCCACATATTTCGATGCCCTGCTTTACAGTTTCTCCAGGAGGTTCGAGTCCCAATTAGGCAATGGAGGAAGCAGCTAGACATAGAAACTCGGAATGTGACCTGAAGAATGTTTTGCAGACCAAGGGAATGGTTCAGGACTGACAAACTAAACCTGCCTCCTAGTAATGCGTGTTACAGAATTTGCTTTCACGATGATTGTCTCTCAGTTCACACAGCCGTCTAACATGGTAGATAAAGATTAAATTCCTTTCTCGTAAGTCAAAGGTTTCAACCGCAAAAGTTAATCTTGGATCCGTTTTGGGGTGTTGCTCTCATATATTGCCTGCTATATTTCGACACATCCTGCTAATAGTGGGATGGTGGAAGGGACCCTCGCGGGTCAACCACCTGTAGATAGTAGAAACAGAAGTAGGTCTACGACTACTTTCTGGGGAACCCCACGGGTTCGGGTAAGCTCCTGACCTTTTAACCGATTCTGTCTCTCTGACACAAGTCCAGCCGTGGTTTGATATCACACTACCCAGAGCTTCGCGTTACAAAGTCATTTCTTCTTGAGAAACTGCAGTTTTGGTAGCGGTTGGATGCAGTCTCTAGTATTCGTATTCTCTCCCACAACCGAGGTAGTTTTAAGTGCTGCAGCTGCAAAATTGTCCAGAGTTTTGTACTTGCCTTGACGCATCTGACCTGTGATCCAGGCGACCTGTGTGAAGGTCCCATTCCACAAGGTGTCCTTGAGGTTTCCAGTGTCTTTCTATGGTCTGGACACATGCCCAAACCACCCCCTTATGCGCTTCCTCATGAATTGAGAATAGTGGGGGAGGACACTTCCATCATAGCAGTCGTTTACACACTCCCGATATATTATGAATGAATGTCCCGTTAACTTCTGCAGCTACCACCCTGTAAACACCACATTTATTAGCGGTACGCGTACCGTTGCGACCCACACCTCTAGGTTCTGGGGATCATTGGAGTCGGTGGCACTCTGACTACGTGTACAGCTGACTTGCCAGCCGTGACCTTGTTCGCACTTCGCTGAGGAAGATATCTGTACTAGCTCTCTCTAAGCGTACAGTTACTGCTCAGCGTGGCAAGAACATAAGTGATTAGACGTGACGCAACCATGAGGATCTTAGTTATTTTGGGCGGCAAGGCCCTAGGAGTGCTTAGGTCCTCAGACAGTATGGTTTGTGTGGCGTGAATACACTGATCGCTTAATGTGTTTACTTTACTGGTGTGAGAAATTGCAGGGCGCTTAACCGCCCAAGATTGGGTCCCCTAAGCCACCGAAGGTGAGCTAGGTGGTATTTGGAAAACGGCAAGTGGGTATTGATAGAGAATGATTCAAAGTTTGGGTCGTACTCAGAAATTTAAAGCCCATTTTCACTTGGCCAGTGACTTAGGCCAAAAGCTTCGGGTATGTGTAGAGCAGCACAGATATCTTCAGGAATAACCTGTTAAAAGAAACAAAGGCGGAAGGAGTCGGGCAGTCCGGACAATCAAAAACCATTAGTTGGTAGTTGCTGAAGACTGGACTATCGATACTTGTGTTGGAAACGAGTGGCGCCTTCCAAAAGCTTGAGTACAAAATCACTGAACTGAAAGTTGACGGAATCCAGCTGGATACCTCTAATCTTGAGCAGACTGAAGACTATGCAAGCCATGTAAGTATTGAAGGAGGGTGTGCAATTCGGCCCAGCATTTGAATGTTGGACCTAAAACCTGGTGATGCATGTCGACAGAGTTCACTACTCATCCACTAAATCTTCCAAGATGTTGTAGTTTGGTTTCAATGAGAGAAAAAAGGCAGGTCCAAAAATGATTCCTTAGGACTGTGAACGAAGTCCCCAGTCCTTTTTTCTGCACTGAAGAGATGTTCAGCTTCTGAAGTCGTTCCTCGTAGGTTGGGCCAGCTGCCTAAAGGTTTATCCTCTAAAGTCTTTTTATGTCACTTGAGTCACCTTACAACCAATGACTCATCGTCTGCACACGTTTCTCCAATGTGAACCCTAATAAGGCGTAGGATAGGTCGGAACCGGTCCCAGTAAATGTTTCACGTATTGCTTCAAGGGTCCTAGGATTGAGGGTAACTGCCGTTGAAGAATTTTCGATAGATTTCAAATCACTCTGACTTCCCACTTCTTGTGAGTTGGTATTAAAAGGGAGTTAACAAATGACACAAACGTTTGCGTGCCTTACTCACAAGACTGCGCACTTAATTGAGGGGAAAAGCAACCACTAATTCCCCCACCGAGTTAACTAGCCTTTGAGGTCTACTTGAAGAGCAGATGCTTCATGGCTATTCTATAATTGTCCCTGAGTTTTTAAGTTATCAACACAAATAATCAAAAGAGATTTCGGGATGCCCCATGGCTTGGTGACATACAGGAAAAATAAAGAGCAACCTAAGGCTGGGCCTTGTGGCTCATCACCGAATTCCAGCCTTCAGGAAGAGATCTGGAGAATGATCTTTACTCTCTGTTTTCTACTGGGAAGTCGCTTTCCGATTCGTAAAGGCAGATTTACGGTGATTCCGAGACTCTCCAGTTTACTGAATAGCACGGAGTGAGGTATCTTGTCACATGCCTTAATGAACTTTACGAAAGTGACGTTTATAGGCTACCCGTGCTCCTCTGACTTTAGGGGAATTTCTTCACTGTCCAACGTTTAGTCAGGCATGGAGACTTCTGAGGAAGCCTCATTGCGAAGCTGATGGTGGGGTACTGACATCCAACTGATTCCCGATGACACTTCGCTTTTTCCCGAGAATCTTTCAAGCAGTGCTGGTCGGGCCAACAGGTCTATAACTTGACGAGTGGTATCTAGAGCTCCATCGTGAATAGACGTTACTGCTGCATTAATCGGGCCACACAGCGGCGTATCCTGCCTGGGTAAGTAATAACATTTTTATGGGCTGAACTGTGCTGCTCCATTGATTCGGAGTTATCAAAGTCGTTAACGTCACTCCGACAAGCCTTTCATCCTAGTGGACTTTGAAGTCAACGATCCACTGGGACATTAGGACTTCAAGGTCGGCGCTTCATGTATGGTTACCTTCGGTTTGCTCCGCTGCTAGATGAGTGGTTGTCAAGGGTCTAAGTACCTGCACATTTGTGCGCAAACAGCATTTATTGTCAAAATTGCCATGTGCGATTCCAGCTGCAGCCATGAATTTTATGAAGGGTAGGAATCGCCTTCCGATTTTCCTTTTGCAGCCCTAGGTGATAAAAATGACAGTTCGCACATCTTGAATGGAAGTTCGTGGTTTATTTCATTGTCAAGTGTGATTTGATATGGTCCGCCGACGCTATATGCATATCAGGTAGGAGGGGAAACAGAGGTATGAGAGGTAAAGTTAGTTTTCTTAGAATTTGTGGGAATAATATTCAAGAATAGAGAACGCAGAGGACGTAGGGAATAAAGGGCTACATGGTTTAACATTGTAGTTATAGAGAACCCTTGGAATTCTGTATGGTGCGTTTCTAATGCCCATGCTTAAGCTGTATCACAAATGCTTCAAGATGGTGACTCTGTTTTGCACATGAAAACCAGAAAAAGCTTTGGCACACACGTGTAGGCTTAGAAAAAGCGAGGGGGGAGATAGCTGTCGCGTTCCTAGGGGAAGGGAGGGCGTAAGGCATAAAGTGGAGGTTAAAAAAACCTATTTTAAGATGAACAGTTTGCGTTAGCATCATTTTCATGCTCCATTAATATCGCCATCATGGTTCTGTCGAGACCATAGGCAACATCTTTGGGATATTAAGTATGAAACACTGGCAATAAGGTGTTTAGCGCCCTACTCAAGGACGTGTATTACTAGTTTTGGTTCAATGATCTCAAATAAGGATGGTTCTAACAAGCCTGTACCGCCGAGAAAAGAGATTTGAAATCCCCCCTGATCACACCATTTGAAGGTATTGACGTTTATTCGAACATTTTTACCCTCGTTATGGATGGTGTGCCTTCGACCCTAGCCGGTGTAATGTCATTCGGTTGTTTGACTGTCTGCTTTGACTTCACACTCAGTATTTGCCTTTGTATGATTGAAACTTACCGTGAACGTCTCACCTTCATATTGTGTGACGCTGGACCGTTGACAAGGTGACGTTGTTTTACCGCGCCCAA